ATACCAATGAAATTAATGAAATTAACCCAGATATTTTCCTCCCAAAATTCTTGCAAATAATTATAATTGAGTTCACTTTGCTAACCTTAATTCACATTGTTTTCTCTGATGAGTAATTAACACTTGTTAATTGTTTAGACTTCCGGCTTATTAAAACTGGATGTAGTGTAACTTTATCTTTTGTTACTGATTTCAAAAATTATCAACTCCAAAATGTGAAGACAAAATAGTGTTGAGAAAAATAAATGTGAGTTAAAAAGAGGCAGCAGTAACCACAAGAAAGATCTGAGCACTGAATTGTGATATAAGAGCAAATATTGTGGGAAGAAATGTGTGAGGTTTTCTTTTATTTCCTAAACAGAATGTTTATTTTTACATGTGTATGTTGGTTTTATTTTTAAAGCTAGCCAAATGGAGTTATCAATAAATTTATGATTTCTATGTTTTCTTTACCTAGCACTTTTAGAAATATATCTCTATTTCCATAATTTAAAAAAAAAAACACCTTTTACTAAAGTAGTTTTGTAAATTTTATTTTTTAAATTTTGTAGTAGGGGGTTTTTATTTGATAAAATTATATTGGCAATTTATTCAGTATCTGGTCACAGTGAAATAAATGAAACATTAATTTTCAGCAATATTTTCCTTTCTTTTTTTTCAGTAATATTTTCTAACTTTTCTCAGCTAATGTCACTTAGCTGAAAACAACATGTTTGGTATAGCAGTTTTTATGACATAAACTTAGTGTCTTATAAATACTGTCATGCTTATCACAAAACTTGTGAAGATCACACCCTTCACTCCAGGGTCTGTGTTGTGTGAAAAGATTCCTTTAAATTAGAAAAAAAAAATAGCTGCTTTTACAATCTAAAATGTCCATATCATAAAAGAACACTCAACTTGTGTAAGATTGTTTCTAAAAGGACATGTCAACTGCAGTGAAGTTCAATGCGTGTGGCAAATGTTAGATGGGCACTAATTTTTTTTTATTTAAAAAAAGTTAATGTTTTATTTATTTTTAAGACAGAGAAAGACAGAACATGAGTGCGGATGGAGCAGAGAGGGAGGGAGACACAGAATTGGAAGCAGGCTCCAGGCTCTGAGCTGTCAGAACAGAGCCTGATGCGGGCTCAAACTCACAAACTGTGAGATCATGACCTGAGCCGAAGTCAGACGCTCAACAGACTGAGCCACCTGGGTGCCCCTAAATTTTTTAAATTAAAAAAAGACTCATTAGTTTTGTGTTTGTCAGCACAATAACCTCAATATGTCCACCAAATAATGGCCTTAATATCACTAAATATGTGTAGATCTGGAAATAAGTATCATAAAACATCTTTCTCTTGACTACATTTTTTCCTTCCCACCTACCACCCATGAACAGAGAACAACTAGTGTTTAACCAAGGATGAAGAAAAGGTAACAATTTTTATTTATATAAATCCAGAAATTATAATTTTTATGCAAATTAGGAAGTTTTACACTTATAGAACAAGTAGCACCAGGAAAAACCATCCTAGTTAAAGATATCAGTGTGTAAAATTATATTAGTTTTTTTTCATAATATTGAGCTAGGACTTGTCTTGTTTTGCAACTCACTTCCTCCCTCCACTTGCTCCAGGTATAGATACTCATTAGATGCTCATTAGAAGAACACATTTAATTATTAATGTATGCACACGTGTCTGGGTGATTTATGGAGAGAAAAAGAGGTCAAACAGGTAAGCTAAAGAAGATGGTGGGATACGGCAAAATGAGAACCAAAATATTTACCATCCATAGTAGCTTAATCTCCATAGAGAAAAATATCCTAATAAAGGACTAACCATTAATATCCTAATAAAGGACTAACCAGTGTCCAAGGAACAGAAAGAAAAACAGATCATATGTAGTCTCAAGGCACAATTACAACAAATTCCTAAAATGTAGAAATATGCTATGTAACTATTTACACTAAAATCAAATGTCAATAACAATCAGATACAGGAAATAAAACTTATTACATGATATTAATAATCATATAAGTAATTCATGGGTCAAATAAAGATGGTGAGAATACAAACGCGCATGTGCACAGACACATGTAATTAAAACACTATAGATCGGGGTGCCTGGCTGGCTCAGTCGAGTAAGCATCTGACTCTTAATTTGGCCCAGGTCATGATCTCTTTGTTCCTTGGTTTGAACCCCTCTTGGAGCTCTGAGCTGACAGCGGGGAGCCTGCTGGGGATTCTCTCTCTCCCCCCTCTCTCTCTGATGCTTCCCTGCTCTCTCTCTCTCTCTCTCTGTCTCTTTCTCAAATGAATAAAATAAACTTTAAATAAATAAATAAATAAAACACTATGGATCAGTGCTAGTGGAATATAAAGCTAAATAAAGAAAAACAATAACAATATTAAAAAGGTTAATTAAAATGTTTTTAATGCATGGATTGTAAATATTTAACAAAGAAAAACAAAAACAAAGACAGCTACAACCTATGGAAGACTTGGGAAGCAATCAAAGACAAAAGTAGAAAACCGTAAACTATATAATAAAGTAAATGGATATACATACACACATATATATTTTCCATTATATGGTACCATCACTTGAATTGTGGTATATTTTTGTTAGTAAGGATAATGGTTCTTGAGACCATGTCAATATGACCTGACAAATCAGGATATTCAATCTTCCTGGAAGGTTTTTCCAAATCACAACAAAGACTAAACCAAGAATTTTCAGATTCATCAATTGCTACCCACTTTGCAATAGGACTTTGTAAAATTGTGTTTTTAGGTAATTAAATGTCCAGGACAGATCATAAATATCTTGAGGCTAAAGGTTGTATTCACCTTCAGTTCTATTTTAAATTTCTACCATTTAAAAAAAAATAAGTTTCTTTAGTTTTTGAGTGAGCAAGAGGGAGAGGGGGAGCAGGGGATGGGCAGAGAGAGAGCCTCAGGCTCCACACTGTCAGCGCAGACCCTAATGTGGGGCTCGAACTCATGAACCATGAGGTCGTGACCTGAGCCGAAATCAAGAGTTGGATGCTTAACCTACTGAGCCACCCAAGTGCCCCTTAAATTTCTTCCCCTTAAAAAGAAGAGTTGGTATGAAAGACAAACCAATTAAACAGATAATGAAAAGAATGGTATATATATTTTGGACCGAGTTTCCTTTTTTTAAAAAACTCATCTGAATTTTGTGAGAAAGTATCGCAGTGCAAAGACATATTGGAGGAGAAAATAATCAAGAGGAGCAATGGGTTTGATGAAGGGAAAGTTTCTGTCTTGGAAATGAATTTCGGATAGATGATTTTTTAAGAGATAGTCTTCCGTTAAGAGCCATTAAAACCCTTTCTCTCTTTTTTTAAATATAAAATTTATTGTCAAATGGGTTTCCATACAACACCCAGTGCTTATCCCAACAGGTGCCCTCCTCAATACCCATCACCCACCCACATGCCCTCCAACCCCCCCATCAACCCTCAGTTTATTCTCAGTTTTTAAGAGTCTCTTATGGTTTGACTCTCTCCCTCTTTAACTTTTTTTTTCTTCCCCTCCCCCATGGTCTTCTGTTAAGTTTCTCAGGATCCACATAAGAGTGAAAACATATGGTATCTGTCTTTCTCTGTATGACTTATTTCACTTAGCATAACACTCTTCAGTTCCATCCACATTGCTACAAAAGGCAATATTTCATTCTTTCCCATTGCCATAGGGCACTTGTACCCCAATGTTTACAGCAGCACTTTCAACAATAGCCAAATCATGGAAAACCCTTTCTCTTAATTTCACTCATTGTGAAATCTCAAGGGTGGGAAGGTCGGCAGATGGAGGGGCTCACTCAGTCCCCTGTGGTTTGGAGAGACGGGCTATGTACCACAGATGTGAGTCCCTGCTCCAGCAGACCCTCCTCCGCTTCGGCTCTACCTTCCTAAAACACAAATTATGGATGGCTTTGCCATTGGGTCTCAGCTATTTTGAACTTGGTTGCTAAAATTTATTACTTACAGTCATGTGTTTAGACGCTTGGAAATGCCTGGAGGTTTTTGAGAGGGCAGAGATCAATTGCAGCCCTAATATTGTCATCGGGCACTACTGTTAGATACAAATGTGCTCCTGATCCTGTACCTCTTAAAATTAGATATATGCGGATATGTGTGTGTATGTGTTTATGGAGCTCATACATTTAAACATTAGAGGCTGAATACACTTTCTAAAAGCCAAAGAGATATCAAAGAAAAGCTAGAACTACACGGTAAAAGCAGAAGGAAAAAAAAAAAAGAAACAAACAAAAACAGATTTTATTTAGGACTAACACAATAGAGGAAAAGAGACCCCGGTATATAGGGGACTAATAGGAGTTTACAGCTAAGGAGTGGGGTAGGGGTCAGTGGGTGTGGAATTATCATGAGAAAACATCAAGGGTGAGGGGGATTCTGGTCAAACCATTTTAACAGCATTTTTTTGTTGAAGACAGTCCAGTGTGATTAGGCACCACCAGGGCAATGGTGAAGGTGGAGGCATTGATAAGATATCAAGGATGATCCTTTATCAAGAGTTGGGGTGGGCACCTGGGTGGCTTAGTCAGTTAAGTGTCCAACTTCAGCTCAGGTCATGATCTCGCAGTTCATGAGTTTGAGACCCTCATTGGGCTCTGTGCTGCCAGCTCAGAGCCTGAAGCCTGCTTTAGATTCTGTGTCTCCTTCTCTCTCTCTGCCCCTCTCCATTTCACACCCTGTCTCTCTCTCAAAAATAAATAAACATTAAAAAAATTAAGCGTTGGGGGTTCTCACTTTGCAAGATACTTGCTAAAACTGGATGTTATAAGAGGGTATGGAGATGGGCCTATGAGAAGGTTCAGACACCTGACTCAAGTTTGGTCAAAAAAATAACTTTTGCCACATGTTAAAATGTAACATTTCAAAATGTCAATAAATTACTTACGGAAGAAAAATAATTTGTCCAGTTACAAGTTGTGATTGTTATTTTCAAAATAATTTAGAGAAAATGATTTTTTAAAGGTTTATTTATTTTTGAGTGTGGGGAAGGAACAGAGAGAGAGGGAGACAGAGGATCCCAAGTTGGCCCTGGACTGACAGCAGCAGTGAGTTCAAAGCAGGGCTGGAACTCAGGAACAGAGAGATCATGACCTGAGCTGAAGTCAGATGCTCAACCTAAATGATTTTAAGAAAACATAGGTTATACAGATTATATAGTAGTATTGTTAAATTTACAGAAAAATATTGACCTAAGAATTGCAGCCATACTAAGATTTGGGAGTGTAGTTTTATACTTAGAGTCACTTGCTGAGATTTAATCATCGATAGAATTAATAGGGATAAAAGTTTTGTTACAAAGTAATAGCACCCTTTGGATGCCCAGTTCCCTCTCCCATAGTACTTTTCTATTTACAATATTGTGACTGAGAAAAATGACCCTAGTCTTTCCCTAATGGACGAGCAATTTAGACAACGCCTTCTAGAAAATACACACACACACACACACACACACACACACACACAGAATAACAATTCAAACCAGCTAAATGCTAAATGACAAAGGGGTCTCTAATGAAATCTCAGAGGTGTAGCTAAAGGAAATAAAGAAAGGATTTAAATACCAAGTCATATAATGTGCAGGAAAAGAGCTGAACTTGAAATAAGTATTGGCTTCAGGAGGTTTGCTTTTTATCTCTTACACCTGTTTTACAGAACGGACTTCATTTGTTCCTGCTGCATATTAATTTCCTCAATATCTTGGGGAATATTAAGAACCAACATGTGGAATTTAATCATCTAATTCCTACCATCACAGAAGGAATTGATATTTTAGTCTCAATAAAAATATTCAAAAAAAAATCTGCTGGTTTGTTTCATTTACTCCCTTTCCCCCAGGACCACTAAATTGTGATAGGCTATGGAAGCAAATGTTAGCAGAGATTAGGTCCCTCTGTGTAGCTAGAAAAGTGGTATATCCTATTTATACCACTTTTTTGGAGTAAAGTGAAGGAGGGGTATTTCTGAGAAGAGCAGAATTCTGGCCAAAGGGCAACGTGGGCATCCTCCATAATGGCGCACGAATAACGTTTAAACCAATCTCATTTTTGAGCAATTACAAACTTTATAAAAATAAAGTACAGTTTTAGGCAGAAGTCTACCAATTAGTCTTAGTTCTGAACTCTGAAGCTTTGCCAGGCAATCCTCCATAACATTACAAGTAATGAGCCTTCAAGCATTTGACATTGCAGGCCATATTTTTTCATCATTGCCTTTACACCTCAGGATACTACGTGTTTTCTTCCTGAATGCACTCTAGCTTAATATTCTGTCTGTTAAATTCGACAAGTTGCGAACAAAATCCTTTATTTGTCGCAAGCAAATATGAATTGGAAAGGAAGGATGACTCGAATACATCTGCAATGACACTATATTTCTCTTCTTACAGATGGAATTTTCACTTACCTTTGAAGCCATATCAGATCCTATCCGTAAAGTTGTTTAGGTTCACACATATCTTCATATCAAAAGATATCTTTTTAAATTTCTTAGGAAATACTATCAAGCCAAATCTACATCGTTAATTGGATATTTTTCTTCAAATGAATTTTGTACCAATTCATTTTTTTTTTAGTCCATTACTAAATTTTGGGGGTTTTTATATAATCATGTTTAATTGTATCCTTTCATCATTTAACCTTTTCTTCTTTCAAACCTATGAATAGGAATTAGGTGACTTTACATCTAAGAGTATAGCTAATATCTATACTTCAAGACTATATTCTTCTACATAATATTTGAGCATTATCAGCTATATTAAAATGAAGAAAGTACAACTTTAATCCAATCTTATCCATTTTAGCACATTAAACATGTTAAAGTCTTATATAAGATACAGATTCATAGGTGTGCGTGTGTATGTATACAAATATATGTAATTCCACAGATGTAACCATTTTGTAATAGTATGTGATTGAACTACATGTATATTTTAACAGATTTATTCTGGGTCCTATGGTGTATCTCATATTCTAAGTATTTGTAATATATTTCATCGTAGGTAAACATCCAGTACATTGAGATGTAATTCAAATAAGTTGCTGTGTTGTGTCCTCTGTGGAAAATCTCCCTCTTTAGATTCTAGCTAGCTATATAACACTCTTCAATTACTAATATATTACACAGAGGCAGTCTGCAATCACACGTACAAGCTATTTGATATACTGGATGTGGAGTTAATATTAATTTGGAAACAACATCACTTAAAATAACGTAATCTCTTATTGAATTCTTTCTTGAATACTGATGGACTTGTTAGTTTTCATATTTATGGTATTCTCTTCAGATCTCAAATACTTTTTCTCTGTAGGATAAGTGACATTACCCATCTCAACAATAGTTGAGAATTTTTATAGTATATCTTCTGTGGAGGCAGTATATTCTTCTCAAACATTAAGCATAGGTTTATTGAATAAATTTTGTCAAATCACTTTATTATCTAAATTTTACAAGTCCATTAATCTTAAATTATTTTCATTAGGCATACCTTATTTTCTGGTTGTTCTTGTCTTTGGGTTTCCTAAAACTGTGTTACTACTGATGAACTCCTATCATATAATCATCTGTATTCAATAATTATTTTACATTTCTGAGCTCATTAGCCACTTTCTTTTGCATCGTGAACTTAAAGATTTCTGAATCTTTAAAAAACTTAAACCATCTTCAATTTAATCCTCAGCTAGATAATCAGATTTTTATGAATGGGAATGTATTCAATATAGCTGGATAGTTGAAAAGTGAAGGAAAAAAAGGGGGAGATCAGCAAAACAAAATTGTTACAAACATACAGGTCACATGCAAATACAGACCATCGCATACAATAACAAAGTTCAAAAGTAGGTGTGCATGTGTGTGTGTGTGTGTGTGTGTGTGTGTGTGTGTGTGTGTTTTAAGATTAGCATCTGTATGAAAAATTCTAGAAATGTCCTGGATGCTTAAGAAATGTTATGAAACCTTTAGAACACTGAAAAGGAGGCACAGTGTGGATTATTTTCCCGTTTTTTTTCCAACTTTTTTAAAGCTCTTTTAATCACTAATGGTGTTCAGACAGTGCATTTTTCCTTCCCGATTGATTCAGCTTTTAAGCAGTCTTTAGAATTCAAATGAAGTTTGCTATTCTGCTGAGTCTGGCTAAATAGTATTCCTTATGAATCAGTCAAATGCATTCATAAATCATGTAAAAGGAATACCTGCACTTTATATAGTTGCTGAAAGTTCCATCATTAGTGATCATTTGTCATCTTATTTAGATTACTTATGAAGGTTTGTTGTTGTTGTTGTTGTTGTTATATCTCAAGTATCCTAGTTTGGTATTTAAACTTTTATAGGGTCAAATGTGTACCATTTAAGTATGTGTACCAATTAAGTACTAATTGTCAACAAATGGCTCTATTTGAGGTGAGGAAAATAACATGTCTCTTCCATGATGTTACAGCATGTCCTAGAATGTTCTGATCATCGACATAGGCTGTTGAGTAAGAACTTACAAGATTGAGTATAAGACATCAGTTGGCCTTTCAATCTGACTTATGTGGTTAAATATTTTCCGTCATTTATTAACTCTGATCGGGCTATCCATTTAATTTATTATAAAACAAAGTAGTGACTTGCTCACTGAATTAGGAGAATTAAATGAGAAATAGATCAAAAATCTTGATATTCAGTGTAAATGTCACTTTATTTCATATTTCTTAGACACACATGAGAAAGGTCCCCTTCTCCTGCTCAAGGAGAATAAAAGTCCATTTCCCTTTCTGAATTATTAGTTTCCTAGGAAGGCCATAACAATGCACTACAAACTGGGTGGCTTAAAAACGCTTGAAATCTATTCTCTCAAAGTTCTGGTATTGATATGGCCATGTCCCCTCCAAAGCCTTTAAGGGACAATCTGTCTCATGCTTTTTTCTTGGCTTCTAGTGTCACTGGTAATCCTTGGCATCCTTTGGCTTATAGCTATCATTTCAATCTCTGTCTAGACCTTCACATGACACTCTTCCCTCTGTGCCTGTGTCTGTTTTTCCATGGCCGCCTCTCTTATAAGGGCACACCAGTCATATTGCATCAGGGCTCATACGAATGATGTCATCTTAACCTGATTACATATACAAAGACCCTCTTGTCAAGGAAGCTCATGCTTTCAGGTAACAAGGATTAGGACTTCAAGAGGTTTCTAGAAGGGAAGGCAGAGGACACACACCATTCAACCTATAACACTTGCCATTTTAAGCAATATATTCTCACCCCAGTCAATACTGGAATCTTTCTTGTCAATATACTCTCTACACTCTAATTCAAAAATCAGATAAGCCTCCAAACAGTTATAGAAGTGCTATATTTACCAATGTATTATTATGTAGAAAGTTTGCTGCTTTATTCATTTTTGAAGCCCACAATGTGGTTACTATAGACAAATCAGAAAAACATGACTCCAGTGTAATTAGCTTATCAAGCTGCGAAGTAGAAATGATATTAAATATTATAGAAACTAAAACTTAGACCCTTTCCATCAACTGTGGATAGGAAAAATAACAAAACATTTTTCCTGCTTTGATATATTGTGTCCTTTGAAGCAACAGTGAAGTGAACCATTAAAAAGTAAAACACTCCATTGAACTGAAAAACAAACTGAATGGGAAAGCGAATGCCTTAGGAAAAAGCAGTTTTGTAATCTCTGCTTTCATGTCTCCTTGTGTCTTTGATGGATGATGAGAAAAGCTAAATTCTAAACAAAAATGCCACAGTGACTGCAATACTATTACTTCTTGTTTTGCATATCAAGAGAAGTTTTTAAAGAATACCCCCAAATGCCAACCAAATGGAAAATGACAGGATAGTGAAAAAAAAAAACAAAAAAAAAAAAAACACCATATCAAAATTACCATTTTACAGTTCACTTCCTAATGACAAAAGAGACTTCTCTATTTCATGGGCCTTCAATTTACTTGATGAAAGGGGGGGGGTTGCTATGGATTGCTTATAAGTTGATTGTTTTCCAAGTTTTCAAACATAAAGTTAATTTCACAATAATTCGTATTTAATGTGCTTACCCATTTGTGCTCTTCGGTTGTGTCATGTTAACAGAAATTGATGTCCTGTTCACAGAAGAAAGGGTACCTTTCTGAAGAAGATAATTCATTAATAAAAGGAGTCCTCTTGGAATGTTTTGGTTGAAAAAAATTAACTCCTGGCCAAACTTAATTTAAAAGGCAGATATAGTCCTAGAACATATATTCATGACCCAAAACTTGTGACTCACTTAACCATGAAATCAGTAAAAGAATTAGAGCAAGGTAAAGGAATTAAAAGTTCCAAATAGGACAGGAGCAAGTGAAAATATTGAAGAGGGAGACTAGGGAAGACCTGATGATGAAGATAAAATGTGAGCAAGGTAGAAGGTCAGGCAAGTGGCCAAGCAGATCCAAGGCAAGAGCTTCCCAAGCAGAATGATCAGTTAATGTATCTTAAAGCATGAGTGCCTGATTCACACGAAGGAGAGCAAAGAGGCCACAGGAAGAAAAGTAAGGAGAGAGAAGAAGGGAGTACCAAAGAGGTGACAGGCACAAGGCATTGTCGCATCTCACAGACCCCTGGCTATCCCTATGAAAAACCACGGCACAGTGTTGGTGGCAAAGGTGAGGAGGAGAGAGACAGCATGCTCTGTCTCTTGCTTAAAAAGGAGAATTCTGGTTCCTATGATGAGAATCGACTGAAGCCATCCTCGAAAAGTAATGACAGTCAGTTAGACCACAGAGTAGGCGATGAGGAGCACTACATTTCTGGTTATATTTTGAAGACAGGATCGGCATAATTTTGTGACTGATTAGAGGTGGAATGAGAGAGAAAATTGTGTCGGGATGGGGAAGGGTAGTTCTAGTTCTAAAGTTTGAACTTCATCAACTGGAAACATGAAATTATCAACCCAGAGGGTGAGGTGTGCGAATGGATCAAATGTGAGTAGACATACGTGATTTGGGGAGAGGCATATCAGGAACTGAGTTTGGGGTCAGTGAAATTGGGTATATCTATGTGTCATCCGTGTAGCAGCACCAAGTGATGTCAGAATGTCGTATCTTGAACTCATTCCCCGGGTCCTGCCATGGATGGCAGACAGGGAGGAGCGAGGCACAGCAGTGTAAGGTTGGAGAACAGATCAGGCTTCCTTTTTCTACTGAAGGCTGGAAATAATCATGAGCCCAATCTAACCCTGAACAGAGACATAAAGCTGAAATTGAATAAGAGAGAAAAGATTTAAATTTAACTGGATTACACTTTTTTTCATATGCTAAAGGAACTGGAGGTTTTGCTTTAGATAGTATTAACTATGCAGATAAGAAGCACAGAGCATGAGGGAGAGCAACCTTAAAGTATTTTCTAGTTTATACCCCGTCAACATCAAATTATGAAATCACATAAATATGTCTAAGACATGTTTATTATAGTAAAATATAGAGGAGATGTGCAAAAAGTCTATGAAAGCATGGGATTATCAAAAATGCATGTTGCCATCTACAGTCACGGCAAGAATACGATTTCATAATTGGACATGTGAGCAAGATATAATTGAGATACACTGAAATGTGTTTAAGCAGAGGCGTATAGTTCATTGTGATAGCATAAACTGGAAAGAGATATTAAAAATAAAGCAGAAAGTGTGTATTAAGGGGATATTTTATGTGGGTGGGAAGAAGTGTCTTGAATGCAATAACAAGGAGTAAGGATGCTATTCTACAGTGATGTCAGACCTATCCTTTCTAATGCAGAATGATATTTGTTACTCCATTAACAAGAGCCATTTTAAAAAGCAGGTTTATATGTTTGCAAAACAGAAATTTTGCCCATTTTTAGTAATGGATCAGATGAGATTTGCAGACAAACATCTACTAAAGTACACCTAAAACTACTGGATTGAATGCTAAAAGGGAACATATTTTGTTAAGCATGCGTAAGGTTTATGGTAGAATAAAATAACTGATTGGATATCAGAGAAAGCAAAGCGAAGCAAAAAAAAAAAGGCTTAATTGTTGGGGGTAGGGGGTACCTGGATACAGTGCAAGTTAAAAGGCTGAAAAGCGCCCCTGGAGAAAAACAACATTAATGGGTAACTAGGGGAATAAAGGCAAAAACAAGCCAGCAAGTGAACAAACATCAACAAAAAATTACTTGTTTGGAGCGCCTGGGTGGCTCAATCAGTTGAGCATCCGACTTTGGCTCAGGTGGTGATCTCACTGTTCATGAGTTTGAGCCCCATGTCGGCTTCTGTGCTGACAGCTGAGAGCCCGGAGCCTGTTTCAGATTCTGTGTCTCCCTCTCTCTCTGTCCTTCCCCCACTCGTACACCCTCTCTCTGTCTCTCCAAAAATGAATAAATGTTAATTTTTTTTAAAACTACTTGTTTGCTGTGAGCAGAAAGAAAACAAACTAAGAAGGCTCTCCTGAGAAATCTTATTTTGAACTCCTATCCTTGATTTTGGGTCATAAACTGAAGTGTAAGTTCCCTGGCTGGTGTGGTAAAAAGAAGAAAAATTATTTCACATACAAAGATCTATCGTTGCTTTGCCACTGGATCCATGGAAGAACCATGTGAAAATGCTCACAGACGAGAGTAACAGTGTCCTTGGATAAAAGCCATAAAGTCCCAAGAAATTCCAACTCAACTACATACCCCTGAAAAATACTGAGAAAGCCAACCAATGTGGATGAAATTAAACCCTGCCGAATCAGATACAGAAGTTTCATATATATATATATATATATATATATATATATATATATATATATGAGGGCCAAATACAACAAACCGCGAAGATTTAAAAAGTAACAAGAACTTCTAGAATTGAATAGATACACAGATACATAAGATACATACACATGGGGGAAGGGAGTTCAATTTATGTTCTATTTCTGGTTATGACACACAAGGGTGTAAAAGCCCTCTATTTCTACTAAAAACAGAACAAAAACAAAAACCAAACCCATGGAATCACTACATAAACCAATCATTATTTGGTACAGATGGAATGCTTTTGTTGCTCCAAAATTCATGTGCTGAAACCTAGTTCCCTGATGCAATGGTATTAGGAAGTGGGACCTTGGGAACATAATTAGGTTATGGTGGTCAATGGTTTCTCGGTTAGTGAGTTCAAGCCCCACATCGGTCTGTCTGCTGTCAGCGTGGAGCCCACTTTGGATCCTTGGTCTCCCTCTCTCTCTGCCCTTCCTCTGCTTGCATTCGCTTGTGCTCTCTCTCTCTCTCTCTCACTCAGAAAAATAAAGTTAAAAAAAAAAAAAAAAAAAGGAGGCTCCAGAGAGTTCTGTTGTTCCTTCCTCCATGTGAAGACACCGCAAGAAGACCATCCGTGAACCAAGGATCAGGCCCCCCATCAGACATTGAATCTGCCAGCACCTTGATCTTGGATTTTCCCACCTTCAGAACTTGGCCCAGAGGGACCAAGACATTATTCTTTAAAGCTATCAAAGTACTATGCACACAAAATGATGACATGCCTCAACTTTCATGCTTCAGCCTTTGTAAGTGAGCAAGTTACGGCAGACACTTTGATGTCTGGTACCAGTTGCCAAGGTCTTTTGCAGGGCAGGTAGAATAAGCTGGCCAGAGAAGTACAGTCTTTGCTCAGGTGAGGAGAAGCCATAAAGTGCTGGAGCACTGAATTTTGGTTTTGAAGGAGACACTCACAAAATGAAACTATTTTTCAATTATTTTTCAATAATTGTCTTATGCAGAATATTGTCAAGAACACAGATAAGGGGTAGGGGGTAGAGATAGAAAGCATATTGTGAACTCACAGCCTCATACTCTCACATGGATAGGTTCTTATGGTCCTATGATTTGTTTCTCAATTTCATGTCCATGTGGTTTGCCGGGACAATAAAATATTTGCCACTCCTCCCACACAAAGGTGTTTTTTTTTTTTTCCTTTTCCCTTGAGTCTTGGCTGAGCTTGTAATAGTTTGTCCAGAACACCAGCACCATTGTGTTAGTTCTGGACCTGGGTTTTAAGAGTCCTGGCAGTTTGTTTTCAGCTTCTCAGACAGTGATTTACCTGTGAAGAGTGTTGGCTTCCCTGGCTCAGAGGACAAGAGGAGAAGGTGATTTGGAAGCTCCCACGTTTTCCTGTTGAAACAACAGACATACCAATATGTTACCTTGGATTGTGAGTGCTACTCAGGCTTCTAGGTGACAGTGACCCCATGGTGACTCAAGCCAAAGCTAGCAGAATATCTCCTTACCTGAACCCAGCTCATAGTGCAGAATCATGAGCAATATGTGTTTTGTTTGTTTGTTTGTTTGTTTGTTTATTCGAGAAAGAGAGAGAGAGAGAGAGCAAGAGCATGAGCAGGGGAGGGGTCAGAGGGAGAGAGACAGAGAGAATCTCAACAGGCTCCACTCCGGGGGGTGGGGGGCTCGATCCCACGGCCCTGGGATCATGACCTGAGTCGAAATCAAGAGTCTGCGCTCAACCCACTGAGTCACCCAGGCACCTGTAAGTGACTTTTAAGTCACTACATTTGGAAATAGCGTTTTACATGTCTTTTGACAATTTAAACGCTGTCTTTGCAGAGCTATGAAAGGCTTTAGGTCCTGCACATTCAATTTTTAATCACAAAAACTTTTGGGTGGCATGTTCATTTCTTGTACCTTTGAAGTCTTTCTAGGTTTCTTTTTTTTAATTTATTTTTTTTTCAAGTTTATCTATTTTTAAGAGAGAGAATGAGAGCATGAGCTGGGGAGAGGCAGAGAGAGAGAGAGCGACAGAGAGAGAAACACAGAATCCAAAGCAAGCTCCAGGCTCCAAGCTTTCAGCACAGAGCCTGATGCAGGGCTTGAACCCATGAACCATGAGATTATGAACCGAACCAAAGTCGGAGGCTTAACTGACTTGAGCTAGCCAGGCACCTCTGTCCCTCTAGATTTCAAAACTGGTCCTCTAAGGCCATGGATCTATCTTAGAAGTTCTCTTATTTTAACAATAGGTGCAATACTAACAAGGAAAGGGAACTTCTGTGTCTACTAATTGATACAGATGGATGTTTACTGTTCTAGTATCTTAGTAAATCAGAACCAAAAGCAGATATTGTTGCTTCAGGAGAAATCCCCATGGCATCATTAATTCCTAAGTGCTCATCAAATATTTGTTTTATTTTTCCAAGTAGTCGGCTGCTTTTTCATTTTCTGTTCTTTTAGTTTATATATATATATATTTAGACCCACAGACCTCTTTAGAGCATACTTTTAACAGAACACCCATTAAGATCTGAGGCCAGGGTCAGATTAGGCTGTTACTGAAATTTTGAGTAGGATTTCAGTCACTGTCTTGTCAAGTTTCCTGATACTGGGAAAGATCCATGTGATTAAGTCAAGGCTGATCTGCCTACAGACTATCTTTTTTTTAGTTTCACTTCGGGTTTTAGGGATTTCTTTTTTTATTATACCTCTGAGATATTTGAGTCTCAGAGCGAAATATTACCTAGGTATGGTATTCCCTCTGGTCAATGAGTTTCCTTAACAAGGCTAATGCAGGTGGACTCTTGTGAGTATTGAAACTGGACTATGTAACAAAGGAAGCTCATTTTGTAACAGCAGTCTACACGGCCTTGAGGGTTAACGTGCTTTAAGCTTACCTGCTCCTTGCTTGATGACTTAAGTCCCTCGATCTGTATCAGAACTAACCTACTTCCCTTGAGATCCGTAGACCACTGACCTTGAGGAATGAAGAATCAAATTTTCCCAGAAGAGTAAGAATGACTACATTGAAAAACAGCTACCACTGATTCCAGCAAGTCTGTCCAGGGTCATGTTGACATACGACTAACGTCCTGGACACCTGCTTCTCCTGCACATAGCCCTGTTCTCTTTTCCCACACCTTAAAACCCTCTGGCTCCCCCTTGATGGGGAAGGTACTCACTGAGACATTAATCCACTATCTTCCCAGGTTGCCAGCTTCCTGATAAAGGTTTTCCTACCATCACTTGTCTCTTGGGGACTGATTAGTCCGGGACCCACCTGTCCGGTAACAATCTGGTGACACAGTTGGTGATTTGCCAGAGTTTGCTAGATGTTGCCCACAGTTTCAACATCAGCACAGAACAATTCCTCCCTCTCGACACTTCTCCTAATTTCAAAATCTGTGGATAGTAGAGAGCGATGTGGATTATTTCAGTGAAGTGCAATTCAAGTTTGAACTAGCAGGGGCTGGTATAACCACCCCGGTCAGGGTAGTTGCAAATCTGGATACTTATTTTTGCATGTCAGTCTTTCCTCGGGCTCCAGGAGGAAAACATACTGAGAATCAGCCCTGGTAACATCCTAACTCCTACAGAACTTTAAGTCTACCTATGATTTTATTCTCAAGAGATGGGATTTCTTTGGAGGAGAGATGGCAGGTCTGGCTCATGGGATCCTATTAGAAGACTTAGGACACTCTACTGCTGTCTGCAAATAATTTTGCAAGTTCCCAGAGAGGCATAACTCAACTCTCACACATAACACACCCAAAGTGAATTATTCTTGGCTCTCAAGAATTCCTAGGTAGTCCATGACTGTGTGTGTGTGTGTGTGTGTGTGTCCCCACTGCTTCATTCATGTAAGGAAATTTACTCCTCATTCACTCTATATGAAATGAAAAAAAAATCTTTTCTTCTAATTTTCTGATTTTCTTCAATTTATTTGGAGGCAATAATGTACTTTTGGTTCCTCTAGTTTTTTCTACATATTATACCTTTTTAGTCTGTATTGCGGTGGAAGAATTTTAAATAAATTGAGGCTATAACAGACACAGGTAGCCCCTTACCGAAAATCATGCTTCTGGAAAATGTTTTCTTATGTTAGGTGTTGATGAAATCCGTATTAACAGTCCATGCATAATCCCTTTATTGAGAAATAGGTGGCAAGATACCAAGATCTCAAATTGCAGGAAAAAAACTGATTTGCTTTGCCTCTTCACTGTATTACCTACAGGGTGAGGTCATGGAAATTGAAGTGTGTAAAAATCGGAGGAAAAGTGCATAAATTATACATACATTTAAAAAGCTAAGCTCAAAAATATTCTAGATTATACCTGAAGCCAATATGTAACCTATACGTCAATTAAAAATAAAAAAGAGAGTTTTGATTATGTGTTTTTAAAAAGAGGGAATATTTTAAAAACGTTGATGTGTACAGTTGAGGATATAAACGTATAAAGTAACATTCTGATAATAATCATGTATTATTCATGTGATTCTTTACGTTATATTTTAAAACTTGCAGAGTTTATAGGTCAGATGCTTGCATTCCAAACAAGTAAGTACTTATTTCATCAATTTCTCTTATATAATAAGCAGATTTTTCGCAGACCTTTGCTTCAGCATGATTTGGCAGCTAATAAAGTCTGAATGTTTATTTGTTGTTTGTTTATACTTAGGTTAATGTGTCAAATAATCATCTTCCCATTTGTAAATAAGCATATAATTGCTCAGTATCTGAATACAGCACCTTTAGTCTCCAGAGAGTATTAGAAAAGCTAACTGAAGTTAATCATCCCAGATCAGACCGTCAACAGAATTTTAGAAGGAAGGGTAGTGTGAAGCAATATAAGATTAAAATCTTTCATGTCATTGGAGGGAAGTAAAAATTGTTTAAATTACTTTGGGTGACATATAGATCTATGCAACCCCAAAAATGACTATTAAAATAATCAGAACCTCTAGAATTAGAAATATCACAAGTACCTTTCAAATCAAGGTTTTTCAAAAAAACCTTTTCATTTTATAAATTACAGAGAGTTTCATTCATTTAGTCACAAATGAAATTAATAGGAAAAAAGAAAGTATAAATCAGTAAATACAGATGGAAGAAACTATTTCAAATATTTAAAAATATAAAAAAAATATATTCTACTGTCTTTCCCTAATGAAAGATTTATGTGTTCAGTGTTTGACAGGAAATGCAAAATTCAACTACAGAGTCTGCCTAGTTTTCACAGAACCACACTGACTGGAAGTTGTGCATATTGGAGTTGTATCCTCCAGATATGCCCAAGTGCCAGTTAACAAGGTTCTATGCCAAGTGAAAACTGCCTGTATATATATATGTGTATATATACCACTCATAAAAAATACATGAATTGTAAAACTAAATGTGTATAAATATATGCCTTGCAAATACTTAAGTAACAAAATTAATTACAACGAACCTACAGGTAACAATACAAACACCATCCAAAGGTCAAAAACAGAGCGTTTAAAGGCAGACTATTTCTAACCATAGCTATTTGTTTGGGAAACATTATAGCTGCTACATAAGCAAATCCAAAGATAAGCAAGGAAGAATTGGCAGATACATTACCATTTGGTCTTTGTCACATAATTTAAATTAAGTAATCAATAATTATATACAAGAACTGAATGATATTATCAATAAAGTTGATTAAATTCTATCAGTAGAAATCTCCTACAAAGACAATATGCAGCCTCGTGTAGTCAATAAAAACCTAAAATGGTCATGTGAAAGACTTTATGATCTTAAAAATCAAGGTGGACCAGACGGGAGTTAAATTATCAGATTACAGTATTATGAAACAGAACACTGAAAGGGTTTTTTTTTTATTTTTAAGATAAGAATTTGAATTATTTTATTTTATTTTTTTTAAAGTTTATGTATTTATTTTGAGAAAGAGACAGTGGGGAAGGGGCAGAGAGGGAGGGATAGAGAATTCCAAGCAGGCACTACACTGTCAGTGCAGAGCCCAAAATGGGGCTCTAACAAACCATGAGATCATGATCTGAGCCAAGACCAAGAAGAGTCTGATGCTTAACTGATTGAGCCACCCAGACGCCTCAGAAAACTAAAAGTTTTAAGCAACAACAACAAATGTGGTTAAACATGTGAAATAATATCGACCACTACGTTAAGAAAGCAAATCATCAAAGACATCTAAAAATCATTGTGTTAAACTCCATTAAGCATCTTAAAATCCAAGAATATAAAGCAAGAACGGAGGCAGTGTAAGTAGTTAAAAATATTATAGAATTTAATACAATCAGGAAGAAATTGGTATCAAATTGAAAAATAGATAAGATCAATGCAATACAAAACAACTATACTTTGTATAATGAATAGTGAATCCAATAACAAACACTTAAATTTTAAAAAATCTGGAAATGCAATTGCCTTCTAAGAAATACAACTTATGTTTTATCCTCATATGTTTGGAGATTAAAGGGATGTTCTAAACTCGAGACAGTTAAAGCTTATTTTAATCCTGCCTTTTGAGTTTGGGCAGCATGTTTTCCATAAAACATGACTCTTAATCAGTTGAATTGCAGCTAGTTCCAGGAACCTATAACCACAGTTATTTGCTGGCCATAGGTCTCAATTTATTTTTGTCCCTTTGATTCCTGCTGTTATAGACTACCTTCCACTTCCACCCCCAAATATGTATGGTTGAAACCTAACCTCCAGTGTAATGGTGTTTGGGGTATGACCTTTGGGAGGTGATTAGGGTAAAGCACTTGTGAATAAGATGAATGTTCTTATTAATAGGATCAGGAAAAGCACCCCAGAGAGAGAAAGAGAGAGAGAGAGATCACTCATCATGAAGGGGCACAGAGAAAAAGCAGCTAAGAACTAGGAAGCAATGTCACAAGACACTTGGATTTCCCAACCTACAGAACTATGAGAGATAAATTGGTTTATAAGCCACCCAGTCTGTGACATTCTGGTACAGCGGCCTGATGGACCAAAACATGCCACCCAGCCCCCTTGAACTAATGATGACAATCTTGAAGTCACATGTCTGGAAAAGGAAGACTACAATCTTAATGTCTTTTGTGGCAGGGCTAAATATAAATGGGACTGTACCATCCAAAAGCTTTTAAAATGGCAATTCAAAATGCCACCAGTGGCTCAAAAGTACAAACTTCCAGTGATAAGTATGTACTAGGGGTGTAATGTACAGCATGAGGACTGCAGCTAACAATGCCATATGGCACGGAGGAAAGTTGCTAAATCTTGAATCTCATCAAATTGTGTCCACTGTATTCTTTTCTTTTCCTTGTGTCTATATAAGAAAATAGATGTTAGCCGAACATGTTGTGGCAACTATTTCAAAATACATGTAAATCAGACCATCATGCTATACATCTTGAACTTATAGTGATGTTGTCATTTATTCATCAATAAAACTATAAGAATATAAGAAAAAGTAACATGGCATTTCTACTACTTGAAGTCTGAAAGAATTACGCCTTACCAATCCTTCTCATCAAATTTCTCGAGTTTCTTTGTCACTTTATTATTACTGCATAAAGCCAATTCTTCCCTCTGTAGGTCATGAAAACAATATCTTTGAGGCTTCAAATATTCTGACATGCTCTATTTTCTGTCCTATCAGTTTGTAAATAAACCACGTATTGTCTGGGCTCACGTCTTTCTACTTTAGTTAAAAGCAGCCAGTAATCATCTATATTTCTAACAACCTGCTTTCCAACCCCATTCTCAAATCTACAAACTCAGAAAAATCTTAGTTAAATATCAAAGGCGATAATTTTTTTTTCCCAAAGGAGATAATTTTACCAAGTATTTTGCTACTACATAGCATGGATCGATTAAGATTTATATATTCATATCCTGAAAGAAAATACCAATCTCTGGACCGGAATAAAGACCATTTACAAAGCATCATGTGTTGGTTTCCCCGCACACATTTCTCCACCGGGTGAGGTGATGGGAGTCAGAGGCGCACCTGTGTAAGCAGTCGTGCACAGTAGGAGAAGAACCTCAAAATTCTGAGCCTCGGTTCTCAGGTAGAGCCACCAGAGTAACTGCCTGTCTTCCTCTCTGGAAATAAAGACCTTACCTTTTGCTCTAAAAAGTAAGAAGACACCACTAGGAGAAAGAAAAAAGATATCTCTGGGTTTATTACTCTGGAACGTGACAAATATCTCCGGGGGAGAGGAGGACAGTGGGGTACGAAAGGCAGAGATAGGCTCTGTATCTATTGTAGTTGTCTATTTCCATTGCTCGGAAGGCCTAGATAATGCAGAAACATTGAGAAATACAAGAATTTTCTTCCATTAGGTTCTTCATCTGTCCAACATCTCCTACCATCTTCCTCCCTGACCACTACCTGACTTCTAGAACAAGGCCCTACAGTTTGGGTTTGATTTAAGGCAACCGTCTACTTCATTGTATCAGTTTCTGCATGAGGTAAGGGGATCATAACAGTTTTAAGAGATGAAGGAAACCATGCAAGTCAACTAAAGAGAGATTTCTTGTTTGTATCAATTCAAGACAGAGAGGAAGGAAGTGCCCCAGTTTCATGAATTATTCGGGCACTCCGTATGGTCGTGTCTGCCATCTTCAAGGATTCTAAGATTCTCATGGGTGTCAACACACAGCAGGGTGCTGGGGGGAAAGAACTGTGTGTGGGAGAATACACAAGTACAGAAGTAATACACAAGATGTCCATACACATACATGGAATGAAAGTAAGTCACATTGTCATATTTAACTCCAAGACAACTTGGAAAATGGGGTCTTGCTTTCTTTTTGTGAAGAAAAGACAGGTCTGCTGAACACCCGTCCAGTCTTTACTGGGTTTCTATCTCTACTTCCACATTTGCCTTATTCTAGGTCTATTCTCAACATCCGTTCTTGTTCACAATATACAGTCAAACTTGCTACCTGGTGATTTCTGAGTATTTTCCAAAGATCTATTTTGTTTTAACCTCCATTTGTGTTAGTTTCAGGTAAAACTCTTGTCATAAGAAGATAGTGTTACATTTTTCTAAAACATTAATCCGTTAGGATAGATTGCTTTTGGAGTCTTTTTTTAATTTTTTTTTAATTTTTTTAACGTTTATTTATTTTTTGAGACAGAGAGAGACAGAGCATGAACAGGGGAGGGGCAGAGAGAGAGGGAGACACAGAATCTGAAACAAGCTCTAGGCTCTGAGCTGTCAGCACAGAGCCCGACGCGGGGCTTGAACTCACAGACCGTGAGATCATGACCTGGGCTGAAGTCGGACGCATAACCGACCAAGCCACCCAGGCGACCCTGGAGTCTCTTAATATTTTCCTCCATCTTACTATACTCACCCTCTGCCATCAAGCTCTGGTTCCCCCACAACCTCCCCTCCCCCCCAAAAAAATTAGGCTACCAAAAAAAATCTTAAAGCTTTTCTATAAGATTAGAACTACTTTGTGTAAGAATATCTTGTTATTTTTTTCAACGACATTTTAGCACTTGAATACAAAATGTGTTTAAATGTACAAAAACATTTTCATCTAGGTGAATATATGGCTCTATTTTTAGGCACACAAAAGCAGTCACAGATACCCCTACCTTCTCAGCTACGGAGGCACCTGTCCAGAATACAGGAAGAATCAACATGTTTGTCATTTCCAGTGCTGTAACTGGACAATATAGCATTATTCAGATGATCAACCCTTGGGTTATTTAAACAAGTGGATAAATGAATGAAAAGCCATTTAGTGGCTGCACAGGAAGCTTATCTAATTTGGTGTAATGGATATCCTGGGCGGGAGTGGAAAGGTTAAAAGGGAAGTTTGTTCTGTCCAGGGATGCTGTCCAGACTAGATGTGCAGTCTGGACAGATGCTGGTGGCTCCAACAGTCATAAACTGGCTTCCCAACTCTCCTTCCTTCCTTCCTTCCTTCCTTCCTTCCTTCCTTATACTTTTTAAATGTTTATTTATTTGAGAAAGAAAGAGAGAGAGGTGGGGGGAGGGGCAGAGAAAGAGGAAGACCCAGAATCCAAAGCAGGCTCCAGAATCTGAGCTGTCAGCACAGAGCCCGATGCGGGGCTCGAACTCACAAACTGTGAGATCATGACCTGAGCTGAAGTCAAACGCTTAACCAACTGAGCTGCCCAGAAGCACCCCCCTCCCCTTTCTAAGGGTCCAAACAATTTAGTGCAAAATGAGAAAAGAAATGTTAAAAATTACTAAATATTTTCCTGAATTATAAAACAATACCTTAGTTCTTTAGTGGAAATGTACTAATGTTTGCTTAAATTTGTTACAAAGTAATGAATGTGACATCTCAATATAATGTAGTAGTCTGGATAGGATCCTGGAACAAAGGGTATTAGGTGAAAACTAAGGAAGACTGAATAAAACAATACATGTAGATTAGTTCATTAACTGTAACAAATGCACCATGCTGATAAAAGGTGTTAATAGGGAAAAATAAATGTGAGATATATGGAAGATGTTTTCCTCTCAATTTCAATAAATTTATAAATGTTCTAAAAATCTACTTATAAAAATAAGAATAAATAATAAAATCTATTTAAAAATACACAAACTATTAAACTTAATGAATACTTGCTGACTCTAACCCTTGACCAGAGTAGAACAAAATTTTTAAATATAACAATTGATAATATCTTGGATCATCATCATCAATGTCACAATAGAAGAAAGTAAAATTAATGTTAGTTCACAACTGAAAACTCAAGTGTGAGGGTAAAAAAGCTATCAGCACTGATTGGCCAGTAGTAATTTCTGTAGATTCTCCCAGAAAAAGAACTAGAATATCACCCTGATACTTCAACCTAGGAATTGCTTGCTGTTTCAGAGTCCTGGGTGATAAAGACAAACAGATCAATCGTATCAGTGTATGAGGACACGTCACAGCTTAACACTTTTATCTTAGTTTTAAAAATTACAGCTATTTGGGAGCACTTGGCTGGCTCATCAAGAGCATGAGACTCTTGATTTTGTGGTCATGAGTTCAAGCCCCATGTTGGGTGTAGAGATTACTCAAAAAAATAAATAAATAAATAAAAAGCTAGTTAAAACTCTAAAAGCAAAAATCTTAGGTTTGTACATAAAAATTCTGAGGAAGAAATTCCATTAGCACATTCCTCCTGCTTGACTTGATTCATATGAATAATTGAGGCAAATCTATGTAGCAGATGGAAATATGGATGGAAGAGTAGAAATACAGTACAAATATGGATGTCCCCAACATGAAGAAATTCTAGCAAAGAAAACTTGTAATCTTTTACCATAGAATCCTTCATGGTTTCCTCATTTCACTAGACATTTTTTCCAGTTCATCCCACGTCTTAGCAGTTTGCTTATACTCTATAGCTTATACTAAATGCTTCTCAAACACCTTACTTAAAAAAAAAAAAAAGATATTACAAGAAAGTTACAGTGGGAGTGGTCATTTGGGGGAACTATTCAGGTTTATAGTTTCACTCTCTAGGATCAAGTTCTGTGGATGCCTTATCTACATCTCATTAGCTTACCTTACAGTTTACCTGCAGTTTCTGTGACTGGTTCTGACTCACGGTAAGGGCTTGCTTTCAACCAAGCTCTTGGTTTCTTTTTCTGAAGTTGCCTCTGTTCCCTGAGAGGCAGACTGAAATTTCCAGGGGGGGGGAATGTTCATACCCTCTGTAGTCACCCTCAACAGTGAGAGCGACGAGCTAGAGGGTAAATATTCCAGAGCCTCCAGTACCCACGCAGGAATGTACTCATTACATTTACAGGGTCCCCTTCCTTTCCCGCCCATTCCTCCCTCATTCAGTGCTTCCCAGGATTACTGCCAAAATAAACTAATTGAACCATAATCCTTTCTTTAAGGTGTTTCTTGTAAAACATGAATTTACATACATCTGTACTCCTAAAAAGGGTAAGAAGCTTTAGATTTCTACAAAGCATTGCATCGTAAGCTATGATTGTGAATGTATTTTTATATAGGATTGATACAAGAATCACCTACCAGGAAAAATAAAATAAAACAAATAAATAAAATATTTTAAATAAATAAATAAATAAATAAATAAATAAATAAATAAAACGCAGTAAACAACATTGGCAAAGATGACCTAAGAATATTCAAAAATAATGAAACATAAAAACTGACCTCTATTTTAATTAGTCTGTCAGTCATATACTAACTCTTCAAATTTATTCTTTGTTCTTTTTAATCTATTATTCAAAATACATGAAGACAAAAAAGAAGACTTAAGAGTAAAGATATTTTACGTATCCCTTACTTTCAAACAGAAGGAAAATCCACAAAAACAATACACAGAATTCAATTATAATTGTGGTTATATTCATAAGCCTATAGGAAAGCATATTTGTGGAAAAATCAATAAACATCTATTTATATCTTATTTGAAGGATTATATGAAAAAAAATTTAAAAATATAGTAATAATCAGTATTATAGTCCTTCATCTTTACTTTCTTGTTACTGATAACTTTTACGACCTATTAATGTTTTTATATTTACCACCTGTTTGCAACATATAGTTGTTGTTTTTGTTTTTTTAAAGATTTTAGTTTTTAAGTAATCTCTACACCCAACATGGGGCTTGAATTTCCAACCCAGAGATCAAGAGTCACATGTTCCACTGACCGAGCCAGCCAGGCACCTCTGCATTTTATAGTTTGTTATTGTTGTGGTTGTTGTTGTTTTACATGAGAAAAACACCAATATGGAAACTGACTTTATTAGAGGAACAGTGAAAGGTCTAGAGTTCTGTTAGAAACAAAAGGAATAGTAACTTTCAGGAAAGATGATAATTTCACAGACCTTCTGGAAAATTCTATGTTTAAAAGAAAAATACGATGAAATTCAACAGATTTTGTATTGTTGTATCTAAAGGAAAAATAAGGGCCCAAAACACAGTGTGATGAAGCAGAAGTGAGGTGCAAACTGCGTTGCCCGAAGCCGTGGATAGAGTCATTCCTTATACCAGTGGCAACACAGAAAATGGTTTTTAGTTATCAGCTGATTGGGGATTGGTTTATTAACATTTGTATCAGAAAGATTTTGTGAGGTGTTCATCGGAGAAACTATGGCTACAAAAAGTAATAACTTCTCTCATTGAATTTTGTGGTGGTTCTATATAAATAAAATTGGAGGTAGTGACTGGGTGACTCGGTTGAGCATCTGCAACTCTTTATTTTGGCATGGCATCACGGTTTGTGAGATCAAACCCTGTGTCAGACTCCACTCTGGGTGTGGATCCTGCTTAAGGTTCTCTTCTCCCTCTCTCTCTGTCCTTTCCCTGCTCTCTCTCTCTCTCCCTCTCTCTCACACACACACACACACACACACACACACACACACACACACAAATTTCCAACTCTTGTATTTTATCTAGTATTACTGTTGCCATTTCATACTTTGGAATACTAGGAGCTCTGGGGCATAAAAACTTAACAATGGGAATGGAACTCCTTTCTTCTTACTTCCTGTGATCCCTGGAATAAAGAAACACCAAAGAAGCCTTCTAATAAATGTGCTAAAAAAACATACTCCCTCATAGACATACAAACAGCATTTATAGCATGAAGGAGAGTTATAATCTAGAACATGTTTTTAGCAATCTAGATCTGATCTCTCTAGGTTACTTATTGTAATTAAACTTGGAGTTTGGGGATTTTCAGAAATTGGAACTGTTGCCTAAATAGAAAATGTAACCAGTGAGATGCTGGTTCTTTGATGAGATATAAGGTATTCTATAATGAAATGGATTACCTTGTGAAGCAATGTATACACATAACTTATTCCAATCCCATGCCATATTAAACCTGAAACAAAGAAGCTTCCCAATGTTATAGAGAAATAAATTCTGGGGGAAGCTACACATGAATGTCTCAGTTTTCATCCAATGAAAATTTCACCTTTCTTATATTATTAGTAAATTTGGCACTGTTTTCAATCATAATATTATTATTCATGTAAGCTTAATTTGACAACTCAATTTTTTGTGTTACCTTATAATTTTAGGAAACAGTTTTTGTTCCATTAGAGAAAAATGGGATACTTGGTCAAAAGACATCTTGTAATCATTTGCTATTAGAAAGATCTGTGGGTATTAAAAAAATCCACTTCCTACGTAAAGTCCTAACATCATGGTATTTAAAATTAAGTGACTAGGATAGTAAACGTGTAAAATTAAGCACTGTTAGAGTAAGGAAGGAATAGGAAGTGTTGGCCAGGTCAAGGAAGGCCTCTTTAAAGTAGATATTTCTTTGATTTATTCAGAAATTTATCTAAATAAGCAATGTATCTTTCTGAGCACCAGAATACTAGGCAGAGAGAGGAGAGAGTCCATTAACTGAGGCGAAAATGAGTTTGTTGTATGTGTTTGAGAAATAAGCATGTTAATGTCTTAGATTTTGCTTTAAGGAAACCCAATGTAAGACAAAGGCTTGCATTCACTTGGAAATGATGTGCTGATCAAGAGGCCGGAAAGAGTGAAACTGGCAAGTATACAAAACTAATTCAAGGGTGTTATCAAGCTGATCACTGTTGTGGTAAAAATGGGGTTCAATCCTATCAGGGAGCCTCTTATGAGCCATGTAAAATGGATCTCAGAATTTTCCACAGAGGAACTCAGAAGAGACAATTTAATCCACCAGTTAACTCTCTAATCTTGATGCTCAGGAGGATAGTTTCCTTGAGATTATCTCTGATGATAAATATTGACCTCCTGGCCTCCTCTGCTTTAAAATTCATGCCAGATGGTACTAGGAAGCATAGTCCCATGGCAGTACCTTCTGACGTCAACCTTGGCCTAAAAGGAAGCATTGATGAGCTTTCCAGAGAGGTCAGTGTCTCCCTTAGCAAGTTCTTATTGGTGAAAGAGATTTTCTGGGAGCCATTCAGTGGTAGATTGTCTGATCTCACATATTGGATCCTTTCTGTATTGCTCACCTACATAATTCTCCTGACATTATTCTAAATATTCTATTTACTCACCATAGACAAGTGTTTTCAAGATTTAAAAAGCAATGAAGCACTATCTTCTGGTGTTCCTGCCAGAACATTAAACACGGAGTCACAGCAGAGGACCTCCATTGCAAGAAGCTATGTATTTAGTAGTCCCAGCCCAGATCTCAACTCCCAGATAACACTCCAACATATGTTCCCTAATACTTTCCAACTTATTAGTCAGATGTTTTAGTCACTTGAATGTGTTTCTCTTTTTTCTCCTGGAGAAACTACTTGATAATTAATTACCTTGTCTTAGCTCTGTTTCACCTGCCCCTACTTACAGATCAGGACATGAAGAGAAATGGAGGCAAGTATTGAATAATCCAAGCATCATCTTGCAAGACGCTTGAGCCATAAGAGCCTTTATATGAGGAAAGGATTCATCATGGGGGAGGGAGTGGCTTCTTCCAAACAAGATATTGAAGATGAATATAGAGATTCAAAATCATCAAGCTCTTTTACTTAATAGCTCACAATCTGGGTCTCTAGAATTTTCTTTACTTCAAGTATGGTCTCTCTTCTTGGGCATAGGAAACCCATAGAGGCTGTTTGTTCTATATCTTTTCTAGTTCAAGAATATTTATATTGAAATTCTGGGTCTGGTTTTCATCAATGTCATCTCTATTCTACTAGGAGGATTGGTAGCTGGCTAATTTCAATTTTTTTCTATGAGCTTCTAAAAATATTAACAAAAGTTAGCTAATTGTACAGTCTTTAATATTATCATTGCTCCTATATTAATAAAGTGTATTGTGCAAACCGACATTTCATGTTATACTTGCACATATTCCAATCCATCTCTTATAAAAATCTTAGTTATAATTCTATTACATGTCAATAGTTATCACCAATCCACTTAACCCTGGCAATAGGAGATTCTGAAGTAACATCACTCACAGAAGAAAAACATTGCTGGTATTCCTAATTGTCTCAATCAGGGTTGCCCTGAAAGAAGAGAGCTTGATAAATGGTTTGTATGTAGGAGAGGTAGGAGGAAGAGGCTAGGAAAAATGTAATAATCACAAGAGGAAGGAGAGTAAGTCAACATAAGGCTAAGTAGTTTTGTTATCCTAATAGGCAATTGAGGCATAATCCTTGTAGGAACTTCTAAGGAGCAGTATAAAGTATATTTCAGAATTATCCAGCTAGAGCTAGAATAATGTTATAAACATGATTCTCATTGTCACAGGTTATAGCATGAAGTGTTAAAAATTAGTGTGTTTATACAAACTTACACAAACGATGACTGAGTAGCTTCTGTGTGTATCCGGGTAAAGGTAGAAGAGGATTTGGGGGCTATAAAGTGACATGTGTGGTAAAACTGAAGCAAATAATTGACAGATTATCTCTGCATGCAGCTAATTGCTAATGCAAGAGGTGTCCAGTTGAGTGAATGTGACCGGAGCAAGTTAAACAAGCAAAAAAGTATCACAAAATGAGATTGGGAAGTACAGAATGGGGGAGAGCCACATGACATCCACATGACTCTTCCTTCATACATTCATAACCTTCCCCACAAGAATGGTGCATTTTTTTTACAAAAATAGTATGAACCTATACTAAAATGTCAAAATCACCCAATATTCACAGTTTACATTATAGTTCCCTCCTGGTTGTACATTCTATAAGTTTAGACAAATGTAAAATTATATATCCATCAT